GTATGACCCCTTGACAGAAAGGGGACTACAAAATTAGCAGTTGGAGTTGGGTTCACAGGTGAACCATCTGGAATAGCTTGCTGGTCATGAACTTGACCACCACCACCGGGGAAGTTTTATTCAGAATTCAAATCATGTACTTTTGATGAGATGCTAAGCCAAAGAGTTTTGTCAATGGAATGACAAGAATACTAGTGGTAAAAATAAATTGAAAATATATAATAATTCATACACAAACATAAACTACAAACAACATGCCAACTTGTCAGGAATGTGGAGCCTAGTGGTGGTCATAAGGCCGAATCTCGTCCCAACAATGTTGGTTGCCCTCATAACGCGTGCATCTCTCATTATAAAAAAGAAAATAACCTACGACAACACTAGATAGTAACACTTTTCCTTAATATGTTACCAAATACCTGTCTATGGTAATATTTATTGTTAAAATGAACAATAGCAATTTTGATAAGTAATACTTTATATTTTTACAACTTATTATCTATCAATAGTAGCTCATTTTTTTTTAAAATGTTATTAATATATATCTACGACAACATTTTTGAAGTGATAGCAATTTTGGTATGATTGAACTGAAGCTGATTTTGCTAGTTACTGTTGATTGAGGAATTTATCATATGGTTGTTGATAGATGAGTAGATGACTGAAGTTGATTTTGATGTTTTCTGGTACGATTGAACTGAAGTAGATTTTGCTGATTATTATTAATTTAAGGAATGCATCAATAAAAGAGTATTTTGGTATGATTTAATTGAAGTAGATTTTGCTAATTACTGTTGATCAGTGATGGACCCATGATTTTTGCCTGAGGATGGGAGCCAGGGGGGTCTCGCAACTCCGCCATTATTTACCAATCAACTAGTGAAAACTAAAAAAAACCACCAAAACTTGAGCAAAGGAAATAATACAATATAAAAAAAAAATGCAATAATACAATACTCTCTTACTTGAATAAATTTATGAGGAACAAAACCTTGAGCAAAGGTGTTGAAAATAGCATATAATTCACAAAGAAACACAAGAAAATTTTTACGTGGAAAAACCTCTTCAATGTGAAGAGAGTAAAAAACTCTAAACCTAAACCCTAAATCTTATGATCTTATCCTAATTTGCTTTCAATTCAAATTACTCTCTTAACAATTGATGTTATTGATGTCTTATGAAAATTTGTGATGAAATTGGGAGGGAAGAAGCAAGGGTCAAATGGAAAAGATGAGCTGAGTTATATGCACTTTTAAAATAATATTTTATATGATTAAGTTCTTTAAAAAATTAAATAATAAACAATTCTACTTGCTCTCAATATTAGATTGTCATAGTCAAAATTCAATGAATGATTCAAATTAAATTATAATCTGATTATTTTTTTTAATTATGTCACGCCATTGTCATTAATTAAATGATAGACTTGTGAAAAGAGTATAGCATAATATTTGAAATTTATTAAAATCAGGAAAAGATAATGATAATTATTAAGTACATTATTAGTTTATAATTATATAAATTATTAATTTTTATTTCTATTAAAAAGGAGTGTAAGTTACAACGTGAAATCTTTTATTAGTAGAGAGAATTGATGTCTGTTAAGTAATTAATTATGTAGAGGGATGATAGACAAAAAGGTAAATACAAATGAAATGATAGTGAGGGTAGGTCATAAAATTAAAAAATCACAGTTAATAGTGATTTGATTTGTGTAGTATATTATATGGACTATTAGGGGAAAAAGGAGGACATAAAAGTGAAATTAGTAAAAACAGGTAGAATCCCAAAGATAAGGAGAGATTCTAAGGAAGACTTTTCTTAAAAAAAAAAAAAAAGGTTTTTTTTTTTTTTAATTTGAGGGTAGCCCAAAGGGGCTAGGTTCACCCTGCTGTTGAATCAGGAATTAATCAAATGGTTGTTGATAGATGAGTAGATGACTGAAGTTGATTTTGGTGTTTTCTGGTATGATTGAAATGAAGTAGATTTTGAAGGCTGAAGAGTGAAAGAGTATTCTGGTTTAAGTGGGAATATTGAGACAAAGGAGAATCAAGAGTGTGAGTGTGTTCTGGTTTAAGTGGGAATATTTAGGCTCTGTTTTGTACACTTTTTTTAATAGCATTTGTCAAATTCTATTCTGAATACATTTTAAGATAGGATTTTGAGAATGTATTTAGTATATTATTGGAAAATATTTTCTAAAATATTTAGATTATTTTTTGACCCCTATATTTGTTAATTTAGCTAAACACCCATAATAATAAAAATTGTAAAATTAACAAAAATACCCCCACCCTCCTAAGCCACTATCACCCGCCAGCAACCATTGTTGCCATTGTCCTCCAACTTCCGAAATAGCGCACAACCAATTGGATTTGATCAGTTCAACCAAGATATGACCGTCGTCAACAGCCAGATAAATCTGGCTAGAAAAGGCAAGATCGATGCACAACTGACCAGATCTAATCGGTCGTGTGTCATTCTAACGACAATGACAGTGACTGTTTGTGTATGATAATGGCTTGGGTGGGTGGAGGCGTTTTTATTAATTTTTAAAACTTCTATTGAGAAAGACAACTATTAATGTTTTGAGTTGAATATAATAAGATTGAATTTTGAAAAGAATTATGAATATTAAAACAAATATGTATTTGGATAGGAATGGATAGGATGATACGAATGGATAGTGGAAAAAAATGAAACAAACGACAGCTAAAAGCCTGGACTGATTTGAAAAGATTGAAAGTAGACTGGTCCGGGTTAAATTGTAATAATTAACAACCATAAATATTAATAAATGAAAATAATAAAAGGTATGAAATATATATGTTAACATGTTACCTTTAATATTAACTATCACATGAATACACGATTGAGATAAAACAAAAAATAATAATAAACCAATTAACCAAATGTATATTCAGAAGGGGAAATTGTTGCAAGTAAATATCAATCAGAATGCACTTATCAATTAAAAATAATAGAAGTAGAATTGGTTTACAAAATATTCATAATTAAATTATTTTTACAATATAAGACATAGAATTAACTTCTAAACAAAAAACACAACTTAATTGAAGATCAAATTATTAGGAGTAAACAAACATCAACCACTTTTATCTCCCAGGTAACTAAGAATTGCATACCAAGTCTGTAACAACGTGAGAACCAAAATGATTGTACCAACAACTTGAGAAACAATCGCCAATGGCGTGCCAAAATAGTTGTGCACGTAGAAAAAACGCCATCTGGGTTACCAGTGTTTAATTACTTTATTCACCATTGAAACAAAAGCTAGAACTATCTTAACTTCAATCAAACTTTTAACTTCCCATTGAGAGATTAGTGTTGAGGTGAGGTCATTTAGTAGCCCCTCTATAAATATATAACCTGCCCTATCCTATCCTAAGCCTACCAAATGATCATCTTGTCCAATTTACGCATCCCTTTAAAGCCTCCACATAGCAGCAAATGGCAATTAAATTATGCAGGATATGGTGATGGTTCCACCACCAGCTAAAATTAAAGTAAATATATTTGTTTGTTCCTTTTGATATTTGTTAATTTCTTCATTTAATCTTTGATCTTTAAAGCCACAAAACCAGACCCAGCTCTTGTAATTCTCCCAGTCATTTCATCAAACACTTGTAACACGTGTTAACTTTGTAACCAAATCAACAACAACCACAGTGTATTTATTGGCTATAAATCCAAATTATACAATGTAATAACAACCAAAAAGTTCAGGATGCTAAATAATAACCACCAAAAGTTCAAGATACTATAGAATAAAAAAGTTTAAAATAAATTATAATATCTAAAGAAGCCATAGAGCTCACCCAGGAGTAAATAGAGAATAACTAGCAAGATGGCAAGACCCCAGCACAAGAATAAAGTATTAATAGCTTGCACCGATGTGGATAAACACTTAAACAGGAAAATAAGGTTTCGTTTGATCCATTATTGTGTAATTTTTAAAATAATCTTTTAAAAAAAGTTAAATTAGGTAAATATTACAACGTAGAATTTTGAGAATTAACATAACCATTCCTTATGTTTATTTATTTACTAAACATCCTTTTAATAAAATATTCAAAATTAACAAAAACACCCCTAATTCACTTATAAATACGGACAGCCAGCCACCACCACTGGAGGGTGGTCGGAGTTGCCGTATCGGTGTATGACCTGCTTGATCTTACCGATCGTGCGTCGATATAACCTTTTTTTGCCAGATCCACTGTGGATCTGACCAGAAAAGGTCAGATCTGCGACTAGATCTGGCCATTGACGGCTAGATCTAGCTGCATTTGGTTATTAACGACGGTCAAATATACGATCATCGTTGATGGTCAACGACGACCATATCTTGGCCTTTATTGAGGACTGTCTACAGCCAAAGATCTGACCGACATAGATCTGGCTTTTTTCGGCTAGATCCAACGTGGATCTGGTCGAAAAAGGCTAGATCGACGTACTACCGGTCAGATTCAGTCGGTAGTATATTATTACACCAGATTCTGGCCAGCTTCCTATAATGGTAGTCGAAATCTGGTAAATTTGGATGATTGGAGTATTTTTGTCAATTTTTAAAAAAAAATTTTAGGGGTTATTTAATTAAATTAACAAATTTAAGAGGTTTAAAGGAAATTGAATAATTTAGAATTATATTTTGAAAATAGGTGAACCAAAGTTAACTTTTGTGGAAAACCTTAGTTTTCCCGATACGTGTGAACTAACGAAGCCAAATTTGTTTTTTTCATCAACCGTTTACAAAATGAGGACACTATTCCTTTATAAACCTAGCAAAACGGTTCAGACTCGCGGGTCGGCTGTACCCGTATAAATAATATATGATACGGGTCTATATAATTTGATCCGCACCCGGACCTGACCCTTTTTTAACGGGTGTGCCGGATATACCCGTGGGTACCCACGGATATACCGGTGTAAAAACAAAAAGAAAAAAGCCTGAATAGTTAATCCCTGGTTCCAAAATCCAACTCTCGTCTCTTCCATTCGACAATACTCATTGTACCCAAAAAATTTTGCTTTCTTTGAACGACCTCTGCTTTCTCTGAACAAGTTTCTGAATCCAACTCTCTTGTCTCTTCCATTCGACAACACTCGAAGGGAAAAAGAATCCCCAAAACGCGCTTTTCTTGATTTCTTGAAAGTTCTTCAACCTGGAGCTCTTGATGAAACCTTGAAGTAAGTTGAATCACGAAATTAATGTCATTTATTAACTATATTTTGTCTCACATGTACTGATTTTATTAGGGCAATGCAGATTAAATTTTACATAACGTTGTAAATGAATTCACTCAAATATGGCGTGTTTCTTTTAATGATTTATGATTATGTCGATTACTATTTCGGGAAGGAGTTGCAATGTTAAAGAAGAATGATCTTTATTTTTACTTTGTAGTTATCTTCAACAGCGTGCGTCAAAGGATAAATCATTCTCTTATTAGGTACTTTTTGTTTCCTTCATTTGTTGGATTATCTGACCTAAGATTCGTAACAATGAGAGCTGATTGTAGTAGAATTGCTAGTGTAAAATTGTTGTTTGTGTCTCTTCTGGAAAGAGATAAGAATTTATTTTTGTCTGTCTTTGTGTATATTCATGATGTATTGAGTTGCTTATACGGCCTTACTAAATAATCCTACTAAAGAATAATATATAATGCTTGAATATTTGTATTATGTAATGCTTGAATATTTCCATTATATTTTATATGTCTTTGTGTCTTTGCAGAAAGCATGTATAACTGCACTTTTCTTTTTCATTTGTTTGTGAACTGCCCTTTTTCACAGACTATATGTGTCTTTGCAGAAAGCATATATAACTGCACTTTTCTTTTTCATTTGTTTGTGAACTGCCCTTTTTCACAGACTATATGTTGGGTTGGGTTGGGTTGGGTTGAGTATAGGTAATTAAGACCTCTATCATGCATTTAATTTGATTTGATGGGGTTTTGTTCATAAGTAATACAGATACTTGTCTCTTCTCCTGTGGTGGTGTTGTGAGACAATTAATTTTACTTAGCAGTTAATTAAAGGATATTTGAAAGACAACTTTGAAAGTAGGTATGTGGATGCAGCTAGCATGCATATATAGAATAAATAAGTTGAAGATGTATATATATGTTAACTTGGTTATTTTGCAAGTCAGTATGAAGAAATTAAATATATTATAGAAAGAAGCATGAATCATGAGTACAGCTAACAATTGGTTCTCTTTTGCCAATCAATTATATATATACAAAGTACTGAGACCATAATATTATTTGTAGAGAGAGTTGCACTGCGTAGTACTAGCTACTTTATTTGTACTTGAGAATTGTTTAATTTGAAAAGCAGGAAAAGCTATATATATATAAGAGGAAGCAGATTCAAAAGGTAGCTAGGTCTTTTCTTTTTGTGGTGAGTTTTGATTGATATTGAGATGCATGCAATTAATTGGTTGTCAAGTAACAGGGAGTGATAGCCATGGAAGAAATTAGAAAAGCCACCTTCTCTCTCAAATATATAAAAACAGATTGTGCATTCAAGTTGTCTAGCTTTTGCCTGAAACTGAAAGGCCAGAGTTTGGCAGCCATATATCTGAATGCATAAATCTACTACTAGTACTTTGCTTAATCATCTATCTTTTTGCTTTCGTAAATATTATTCTATCAATTTGTAATCATATTCATCATCAAAGTTTAAGTCCAATAGAATCCATTGAAGACTGAAATATTCCATGTGTAACATGTCACCTAAAAATACATAAATGGGCATCAATCAAGTGGGTGATTAGACTGTTAAATTCAATATTTTATATATTACCTTTTGACTTTGAGTCCAGTGATTGATTTACAGTACTTTTAACAAATTATCTATCTTGCTAAAGACTTTGTGTCATTTTCTAATGATATTCCCGTGATCATTTTAATAGTTACATTATACTTATTTTTTCACCTTATTTTTGAGTTTTCCTTACCCTACCAAATTCACATGTCTCACGTTGCTCAAATTCTTTAATCCTTTGCAGATTACAACAATTTCATATCTAACTACTGTTTCCTCAAATCCTGTGACTTGACACTGGAGTTGTCCTTTCTTGTGGTTGTGGGTATTAATGTTCTGCCCTATATGTAATGTTGAACTTTATGTTATTAGAAATCTGATTATGCGTGTGCAATTTTTATGAAGCTTTACATATTGCAATGGATTAAAAAAGTCTATTTCATTTGTGATTCTATAATAAAAATGAATAAACAGTTGGATGATCAGAATTATCTCATCTTCCACTATTTAAGGTTACATAAATACCCACTACTATAAATTGTTATAAAAGCTGTCTTATTCGAAATAGGGTGGCTGTAATCAATCTTTTTGGTCATATATTGCTGTTCTCCTATAAATTGCTGGTGGTTTATTATATGTAGTTTAAATTCTTTAATTTGAAGTTGAACTTAGCAATTCTTTTTTGTAGAATCGAGTGGTTGAATTAAAAGGCTGCTGCTGGTTTATTATATGTAGTTTGAATTCTTTAATTTTTTGGCAGGAACAATGTCATCAACTATAGAGAACATTGACATTGAGGAGGATATGCCTAATATGGTTGGAGAGGCGATCTCAAATGTGCATGTAAATCCTAAGCAATCTGACATGTGGCAACACTTTGAGAAAACTGTTAACGAGGCAACCAACAAAACAGAACGAACGAAGAATCCCCTTCTGCTTCAGGCACTTTCTCGCTACATCTCTGCAGAGTTCCATTCCAGCAAAGAAAGTCAGGTTAAGCGCACAATTAATATTCTGTGGTTTTGTTACCTGTTTAATTTGGCTCTAATCTTACGACATCGTTGCCAAGTAATAAACACCTTAGAAGGGTTTAATGTCTTCGTGGTCTGCATCATGTTATCAACTGCCGGAGGATATTGTGTGTTGCTGATCAGAAACCAGCCTGAGCTTGCAGTTCTCCGGAGATGTTATTTCATGCTGTCGAGTGTTTCAATGGCATCAGCTTTATCAATACTGGGATATGCCTTGTTTCTGGAAAGTTTCAGGTGGGTTTATTAATATCTCAGCTTTTCAGATTTGATGGGAAAAAGCAAGCAAAAAAAAAAAAAAATTATCGGCCAAAGATTTCTCTTACATTCCTTTTTGAATGTCGAATTTGATAAACGTAAAACTCTTCTATTTTCCTTGTGTTTTAGAATAGAGTAACTCTAAATTAGATCCAAAATATGTTATTTATGTAGGTTGCGAGATTGTTTCAAGAATGTTTACATGTTATTTGCTGATTATGACCAGAGTTCTTGTATTTGTCTGCTTCATTGAAATATATAAGATTCATGCATATTTAGGGATTTGGTTTCAATGCCTTTCACCAGAGCACAATGTTTACTTGGAGAATTTGTCTATATGCAGGTCTTTATGATTACAAGCTTCATTATTTTGCTGGTCTGGTTCTTGGATTCGGAGAAAATCTGCATAGTTGAAGAGAAAGTACATCTCAGATTTGTGGTAATTTGTAGGAGATTTAAAGAATTTTCTTTTTGAGCTTTTGCTTTTCCTAATCATCTGTATTAGCTAGCTGTTTTAATCTAGAATTGATCAGATACGTGAAGCTAGTTAAATGATTGCCTTTTGAAACACCCAATTGAAATTGACATGTTTTGATTCACCAGTATAGAAAACTATTTTGGTATCATTATCGAAACTGAAATATGAAAGAAATTCTTTATGGGTATTCAACGCCTGAAAATTTTCATGAAACACTAATTATAGCAAATAGCAAAGGATATATGGGATAAGAAATAAATATCTCAAATCTAATGGAGGAGAGGTTTGTTTTTATCAGAATCTGAGGAAGTTCTATCTTTATTCTTCGAAGCTGGGAAGCTCCAAGAGCTTTATTAGAAAGGGGTTCTAGATAAACATTTTTGTAGCCTCAGAAAATAATTTCCTGTCCTGACTGGACAAAGAATAGAAAATTGTACAACTCTGAGAATTGCTAGATCATCTGGTTCATCATTAATAATATTGGTGTTTTAAGTTTTAACAACAAATCAATGGCCATGAATTGACTTTGATGAAACTCAATCAGACTCGATCAGACTTTCTTCTCTCAATGCTCAATCCTCATGAGACACCACAGCAACTGCTTGAAACGTCCACTCTTCTTGCTAAGTCTTTTGACCCCATTGATCTGATTTAGCCTGAGCTAGAGATAAAATGGTAAATTTCTGAATTGGGAATATCAGGCCTCCGATTCCGAATCTTCTTCTTTACTCTATCTTGCTCACGGTATCTCTCCCGTCTTTCTTCTCTCTGGTGCTTCTTCATTAATTGTTCGTACATAGCTTTCTCTGCTTCAAATTCCTTTCTATTCTGCTCTGCCTTAAGCTTTCAATTCTTCATCTGCAAAACCGCCAAGCGATTACGTAAATATAGGAAACTTGTAACTGGAAACATGTGAAAGGTACATAACAAATAGGTAATTATGAAACAAGATTAAATGGTAGATGGGAAAATATTAGTTGTGAACTTGTGACAAGGTTTGGGCTATTGTATTAATGACAAATAAATATAGAGCGCAGGTCGAGAATGCTGAAAACATACCTCATGAATTAAAAGACAGTTAAACCAGCAGAAAGCAAATTGAAGAAACTCAAGTCCCTGCTCTTCAATGTGTCTTGAAACAGGTTCTTGTTCAACAATAGACAAGTTGAACAGGACAGAGAACACTGTATTTGAAGGAAAAAAAAACCCAAGTATTGTACACACGAACCCACACACACAAGTATCCAAGAAAAATGAGAAAGTGATTAATGTAGTTTGGTGTAAGGAGCATGTTGTGCTCAGCTCCATCCAACACAAAAAAACTTAACCAAACAACCGAGAAAGCTATTTTGGTAACATTCAAATTATTTCTTTCTAATTGAAGCCCTTAAATTTATTACAAAAATTACCCTCTTAAAATAATATTTAAAAAAATTAAAAGAAAATGAATATTTGAATACTTATGTTATTATAAACCTGAACAATAAGATATATCATTAATTTGTTACAGAACAACCAAGTAGGTGAGCGGGAGGTAGAGAGAGCGAGGCAGTAGGTTTTTTGTCAAAGAGCTCTAGGGAGTGGGGACAGGTATTTTAGAAGCCACCGTAGTGTTCATTATGAAGTCCCAAAGGACCACCAACCAAATCACTGTAATAGTAAAATTTGACAACTATTTGGTAGATTTAATTTACTTGCAAAAGTAAAATGTGACTTGACTTCTTAGAAGTAGCATAATTTCCTATGCCCGTTCCGACTCATGAAGCACCCGTTCCGCTTCAAGGGACGGTCATTCCTACTCGCACATAAACAGTATTTTAAGAACAACCAATGTATAGGGGTTACATTTTGATATATTCTCTATTGGTACAGGAGGTTGAACAGATCTTGCATTGGGAAAGACACATTGGGCAAATAGTAGTTCTTGGTGGTGCTTTCTCAGTAAATGGAAATGTGAACCCAATAGCAGAGGCCACTGTGAGTTCCTCAAATCTAACTCTTCGGCTCTCAACTGTCTGACTATTCAAAAAATTGATGTTCATAGCAAATAAATTTTTGTTAACTCTTACAAACAGTTCATTAGATAATATATTGTTCTGCTTCTATATCTATCTCAAAATTATATCGTTGCCTGCCTACTTGCCTTACTCATGAGTCATGACAACTCGAAGAGTCATAGCCCTGCAAGTTCGGCTCCTAGTTGGGGCATCACAAGGGGACTCACAGTATTATACAACAAACAGAAGAGGTATGACCTTTTCTTCAAGTCAATTCAACAACCTGATCATGATAAATTAAGATGGAAAATGGAAAGTTGCATGATAAATGTCTCAAAACTTGTGTTCTAACATGTTCTTGAATCATGCTTCATCGGAACTTCTAATGTCTGTCACTACAATTTCTTTGTCCTCCTACTAACTCATCCATTTCAACCAGATTTGCAGAAGTCACTGAGTGGTCGGACAAACCTACAGTGCAGTGCTCTAGCCATTGTCAAACTACTCATAGATCGGCTTATGGACTTGTAGGATTCAGACCTAGAGCCATTTTATGATATTTTGGTCCGTTCATGATTATGAACCTGCACTTGATTTCCAGTTCAGGAGCACCACATGCGAGCTAATTCAGCAAAGTGATGGTGCAGATTACATTATTACTCATTGATTTCAATAATACGATATTACATGTAATTTTTCATGTAATGTCGTGTACCAATAATGTGACAATTTGTTGAGTAACATTATTTGTCTCAAAGCATATATTGAAAAGAACCAGTTTGAATTCAAATTGTTATTACTAAAGCATTCTCAGAAATTTAGCAACAGATTCATTACGCTGTTCCAATCAATCCAAGCACAGTAACTTCGGCTTCAAGGATGCAAGTATCATCCGCCAAGAAGCCCTGTTTTGGATCCTTGAGTTTATGCAACGATAAGAACTTATGAAAACCCTCATACTGGCCTGGAGCAACAGCTTTTCAACTGCAGGAAGGAAAAAAAAGAAGAAGATAAAGTCAGTTTATAATCCTTCCAACCATAAGAGCCAAGGCAAGAAATTATAGCAGTAATGCAATCTTCACATTGAAAACTTTTCCCATACAGACGTCCTGAAACTTTTAACGTACTTACAAAGGTGAGCAAATAGTTGCTCACTTTTGATTGTGGGGTTGTGTGAAGTGAGCGTCTAGACATTCACCTTTCGTCCGCATGTTAAAAATTTCAGGACTGCATTCGAGAATGACTAATCTTTAAATTGCATTCAAAAGATTCCTATATGCCAGTTCAATGTGCAATCTTTAGTATTCATTTAGCACCATTTCTCTCTTCACCAAAAAGACACTTAATATCAAAACCTCTAAACATTAAACCTTGAGCTCTGGACTTGCAATCCAAAAGAGTTAATGCGTGATTAAATAGTTTCATATTTTTTTCTTAACAATCAAGAACTTTTTGGTAAAAACTATATTGTCATGAACTCTTAATTGAAGAAATTGTATGGTAAGAATTATTAACCTCACATTCTAATTCAATGTGCCTTCCTTCAATTTGATCTTTGACACACACAATGCATTTCTCTAACAATTTAGTTGTGTCATTAGGGATACTTGAGTTGGCCAGCGACAGAAAAAAATTGAAATACTGTTGCCTTTGGCTTCTCTATATCCATTAGGGTAGAGCAAAATTTTCCTGCATTATATATAAAAAATAATTAAACTCAGGAAATGGTTCATATGGCAAAGAGAAAATAAAAGCCATTCCATATCAAAGTGTATATGTACCAGTTGTAGTTCCAAATGGTTTAGACTTATAAGTTACATCAAGTAAATTTGAAAATTTAACTATTTTCCAAAGATGGTAACATCTAGCAGGTTATTTGATCATAGATAAGCACTCCCCTTTTGAAACACATTTTACAACAAAAACCTCGGCACCAAAGACACAAGTATCATTGATAAGATCCATTCATAGGGTCATGAAATGATTTCAGGTCTATGCATTTGGTGATACCCCATCTGGTCTTCATTGTGTGGTATCGCCTTACTCTACCATCTACATCACAAACGTTAATGTAGCTATAAGTATGAAAGCATAACAAGCAGTAAATTTATCAATGCTGTTGCCATATGAAAAAAGAGAGATTATTTCAGCCAGTATGCACCAACATTTTTTCTCAAGACCTTGAAAGGGTTCCAAAAACTATACCAGAAAAGAAATGGACTCTCAAGCTAATCCTTCCCTGGTGAAGCCATAGAAACTTCCCAATTTCAATGAATAAAGAAAAACTTCCTTAAAATTCGAGGACATAAACGCCCAAGAGATATCCAAAACTATAGTTTATCCCACCAAGAGAAAACGTCCCTTTTCCACAAATATCTTCAAAATGTTTCCTATTCCTATCCAACCACAAAATCCAATAAACTTCCATGATTAAAGTACAGACTATTAACACACTAGCATTCCTTCTGCCTTTCATAGCTGCGTGTCTTCCTATTAGAGCCAAATGAGAACTAAAAGGTAATGCCTAGGAAAGTTTAAACTCCTTAACAAATTGTTCTGCAAACAGCTGGAAATGACGAAACACAAAAAGAGGGCCAATATTCTCTGAGTCCTTTTTGCAAAAAATGAACCAGTTCAAATTACAAGTCCTCTCCTTTGAAACGTTTCATTAATGTTTTTTTTTTTTTTTTTTTTTTTTTAAGCACAACAATTAAGATCTTCACTTGGACTTTTAACTTTCTGAATCACTCTAGAAGGTCTTCTCCTTTGAAACGTTCCATTAGGAGAGTCAACTAGACTAGCAAAGCAAGATTTTGTTAAAAAAATTCCTGACCTGTTAAAAACCACACTCTTATAATCTCTATGCAGCTAGCAGAGTTTGTCTAGCATTGTAAGATGTAAGATGTCGCAATCTTACAATCTCTAAATATAGTTAGAGGCACCCAAAATTTTCCGTATACAAGCGTTGACATGGCACATACAAGAATGGCACCGTATGTGATTATAATTTTATATTGTCAAGGACATTACCTTGGATACTATCATACTTGTTGTTAGAACTCGAGCCTAATTGATCAATTCGCCAACACACACAAACCACAACCAAGATTCAAGACCAAATCACACACACACAATCAAGACAAGATTTACCGTGGTTCGTCTATCCGATATTGGATAGACTACGTCACGTTGAGCTCCGAAATATGGATACTCACAACACTAAAAGATTATTCAACAATTACAAGAAGAATACAAACAATCTGCCGTAACCGAGCAACACACAACTCAGGCCTATTCGCTTAAGAACTCTCTACAATCTGCTAGAAAACCAGAGAACTAAACAAGCCTCAAGAAGGAAACGCAACCCTCCTAATCTACCCAGATTATACCCAGAAAGCCTCTGCAAAATACCCAAGACACAGTTGCTCTACAAAATCGTAAGAACCCTAACTGTTACAGACTAAAAAACGCGCTGCTCAACACACTGTTGCTGCTAGTTTTATATCAGCCCATATCAGCAAATATCAGCCCTTGGATCTGTCTTAATCCGACGACCAGGATTCCTTCACTTAACTTAAATGAAACGACCCCGTTTTGGCTTCACAATATTTTCACTTGTCTTGAAGCTTATTGTATATTAAAAAATTGAAAATCACATTGACTTCCCATCCTGCAGGGAGAGTACTTGTCTCCATCAATTCCAAGTAAATGGAGAGATGCCTGTTTTTGCTAGAGTCACCATTTGGGTAGATATGCAGTCTCCTGTAAAACCAGATCCCAATTGTAAAGTGAAAGACAGGAAGAATTGTATTATAATTCTACACTGAGAAGGACTCGATTTTGAATAAGTAATGACTAGGCAGAGCATCCCTTCCTGAAAGAGGATCAAATACGGGGCACAACAACAACAAAGTAGTTATATTTTTACATCTCCTACATTATGCTTTTATAATGAACTCCAGAAAATTCCCTCAAGAGGAAGTATGTAGTTCAACTTATGAAAGTTAGCGGAAAACTTTAATGAAATATTTTCAGCTCATTACATTAGTAAGGCCGCTAATGAACACCATATAGCTACCGAAGCACTAGCATGAAGAATGAAAGATGATTTCTTATGGTATTGAAAGCTGAGTAAATTTCCAAACTGTTTTCACTATTGCTTTTACCCTGAAATAACATATTACACCTAATTTTGATATGCAAAAATTCATAGTATTTTTCATACCTTTCTTATTTAAGTAATGCTATACTTATAAAGTTGGAATCCTGACTTTGAGAAACACTTACATAGAGTACTCTCACCACCTTAGCAATTAGATGAAACCATCCAATAAAACAAGGACTTGTATTATTAGTTTCTCGAAACCACCCATCATGACGATGACCGAGTTATTGATGAATGTTATCGACAACGGAATGACAGAAAATTTAGCATCTATGCGGCAACACATGCCACTAGGATCATCCACAAAGTGAAGTGGTAAGACTATTTCGTTATATAAGTTTTTCTCATCCGACTTTGGATCCCAACCAATGTAGTCGGCAACATGATGACACCACATCATTATAAAGTGATACTTTGATTTACATATAACACGTATAGAAATACATAAACAAACTAAAAAAAAAAAAAAAAAAAAAAAAAAAAAAGAACTTCAAGCTTTAAATCAAACCCTGACGAAATTGTATAGATAAAAGGGATTTCAACTAAGAACTCTGAACAACTAAATGTTAATCAGCCCAAGTGACTAAAATCCACACTACAAATAAAAGATACCTTTCAAGATGGCGACTTCAGCGGACTCCTCGGTATTCATGCTGATGTTGAGAAGAAAACTGCAAACTTGAGGGGGTACAAAATCTAAATAAGCGTTTGGCTTTTGAGTTCTTCCTCTTCTTGCAATGCATGATCCATAAACCCATGTAATTTTTTTTGGAGTGAAAATGGGCGAGCCCATGAACATAATCTCAAAAGTATGATCCATAAACCCATGTAATTTTTTTTTTTAATATTTTGATGGGCTTTATTTACAAAATATTGATAAATATAAAATTTTCGGTGCAACAATGTGATCAATAATTTTTTTTTTTTTTTTTCTGGTTTAATCGTGTAAAGGGCATAATATAAGATGATTCATATCAAATCTAAAAGGTATGTGTTTTGAGTGATTAGTCCATATGCTGGAAAATTATATTTTTATATTACTATGATTAAAAATCATGATGGTTCTTTAAAATTTGAACGACAAGTAAAGGTTATGATGACGTTTTTTTGTATTAACACAACATAAGCGTTACATACTCTCCAAGCATTCAGTAAATTAATATTTTCTCAAGTTCAAATTGCTTACTTAAACATTAAAGATGTAATGTTGACAACCTCATCGATGTCCTCAACGACAATAGTATTCAGCTTATGTGGTTATAAGAAATTAGACTAGGGTTCAACTACAGTTAAAAGTAATAGTCGCGATCGATGCTCCAACCATCGTCAAACTACTTAGGGATAGGCTTATAGACTTGTGGAAAAATTCAGACTAAAGCCATTTCATGATATTCAAGTCTGTTCTTGAGTATGAAACCTGCCATTGATTTTTCCAGTTCAGGACCACCCCATGTGAATCAATTGAGCAAAGTGATGGTACAAAGCTATTGAGCTTGAGTTGAATTCACATCATTACTTATTGATTGCAATAAAAACTATATTACACAGTATTTTTTTTTTTTCTGTGTGTAATATCATATACCAATAATGTAACAATTTGAACAGAACCAGTTTGAATTGAATTATAACAAAGTAGCAGCATAAATGTATAAAGGGGAAAAAGTTTCCAAGTTCAACATATAAAGAGGAGTGTTAACAACAATTGCGAGTGCAAAAGATGCTCATCTTCCTTTTGACATATGTTTCATTGCACGAAAATTATATCAAATTATAACGGAACATGTATTAAGTGAAGGGTCAACGCCCTCATGAGAGGCGTTATCACATGGCGTGTATAAATATATATGTTAATCCAAATTTTCATTTGAAGTCTAAACAAACAGAGTTTTTTAACTTCTTATATGATATTAACCTATAAATGATGGTTATACATCATTAAATAATAGTGTTCTCTTTCTCAATTCTTAAATTGTGGTTTTGAGAGTTGAGAACGATATTTTCAAAGTTCATTGATCAATGAATCATAAATTCGCACCATAAAGCCTAATATGTACACAATTAACCCAAAAAAAAAAAAAAAAATTAGTCTTAAGTAAATCATTTCATAATTTACTATTAATCATGTGACAATTTGGTAGAAAATAAGATTCCACGTGGCATAATAGAATTGGTGATAAAAGAGGTTACCATGGTCTTCGTCACATTAGATTAGCCTTGTATAAGACTCACTTCGGCCCTTTCCACTGACAGTTGAAACCGTGGGTCTTTGGTTCACCGCTTGGACTTGAAAGCTCTCCGCCTTGTCACCGGTCACTGATCTTCCCGGGGCTTTATTGCCGTCTGGCCTTCATTCTCTTCGATTAGAAATTTATTTTAGTATTTCATTAATTTTATGTCATTTCTGATCAGAATTTGAATTCGCAGGTTTAAATTAAACTTAATTTGATAATTACATTATGCATTATAGTAACAATTCTGATGGACTAGCATTTTGAAATGTTCATATATGGATAGTTGATTTGAAAGTTTCCGATAATTAAAAACATAATAATAATTCTGAATTGGACTGGCATTTTGTTCTAAGTTTTAGGTCTTATCTCGAGTTTGTAATTGATTTCTATAAGATTCATTGTTCAGATATTTGCTTTTACTATTTCGAGTTTGATAATGATTTTCAGAGTGATTGATTTTTGGTTTTTTGGCGTGCCATTTCATCCAATTTAGCCATGTTTGAGTTTACATGTAAGGTTTTGTTCATGTTTTCTGATCTATGATTTTGGTCAGTTATGTGGTGAAGTTTTTCTGAAACTTGGACATTTTTTGTTTGACTTCAGAGTAACTCCTGCTGTGTGGCTGTTTTAGCTGGACAGGATGGACCAGGTAGAGGAAAAGAAAAGAAAAGAGTAAATTTTGTTCTCAGGAGTTTCATGTATTTTCTGCTTGAGGATTTGAGGTATTTCATCAATAGATTGGGAATTTGAACTATCTAATTCAGAATATCCTAATGCTTTAAGGAATTTAATTAGTTAATAGTGCTTTCGATTTTTTATTTTCTCATAAATGTTAAGTTCTACATATTATCCACAAAAGTTGTGCCCTCTGTCCAGAAGAGGCCATGAATTCACTAGTTACATATACTTGTTCATTTTATCTTTTCTATTCATAATTTTCAAGTTTATCAAGAAGAATTACAATGCTGTAGGATTAGATGTATACTGACCTATATGATCTCTTCCCAATAATCATTCTATATGTGTTATTACGGTTAGCGGTCCCTTATCTACTAGTTAGCTCACAATGATGGAACTTAATTTACCTTGCCTGGTACAATTAATATTGATTATATATCATCACTGCAGACATTCCTTTATCAAATTCTTCGTGGCTTTGCGTATTGCCATCGAGATTTGAAACCACAAAATTTGTTACAGAACAACTGAGTTGGTGAGCGGGAGGGAGAGAGGGCGAGGCAGTAGCTTTTGTGTCAAAGAGCTCTAGGGAGTAGGGACAGGTATTTTAGAAGCCACCGTAGTGTTCATCATGAAGTCCCAAAGGACCACCAACCAAATCACTGTAATAGTAAAATTTGACAACTATTTAGCAGATTTAATTTACTTAGCAAAGGTAAAATGTGACTTGGCTCATTAGAAGTAGCATAATTTAAAAGAAGAAAATGCAAGAAAATGGGTTTACCATCAATCTGGCGAACCAACCCTTCAGCTTAAACACTAGCCTCCGGATTCCTGGTTGAGCAAATGTGTAATGATCTTGCATACCATCAAGCAATTTTGACAGGCATAAATAGCAATCAGCCTCTACTTCACAGATTTTTTCTGGTAGTAGATCTGAGATCGACCAATTATCTTCACTCCCTTCCAAATATTCCCAAAGGAAAACAAGAAGAAAGGAACAAGATCATTTATCCCTTGAACATACCTACCTGCAGGATGCCAAATAACCCTGGAAAGAAAGGTGTGTTTGTTTTATTATTCTCAAAATTCAATCATATTCTATTCAACTCAAAATATTTAGATTTTTTTTATCTCATAGGTTTGTTGATTACAAATAACAAAAATTATGAAAGTAGCATAATCTACTGGCAAATAAGAATTGGAATGCACATAATCTGGAAATTAAGCAGAATTATGGAAGGAGTTCTCAGGTGACTGTAATATGTGTTCGCATAACTAACCACTGCAGAGAAAGGTGATCCATCTAGCAGTTGTTAGATGACAAATAAGAGCCAGAACCATGTTTAAAAGCTAGTCTAATAGTTTGACTCTACCAAACTTTTAAGTTCAATTTGCTCATCCTAAATTCAATGCCGGATATGATTTCAGAAAAGTAGATCACATTTAGCCATATAATGTTGAACACCTACTATAAATTCACTTGTCACAACTGCTAGCGCGATGACACTAGTCTACACACATGTCAAGGTAAAGCAATAAGAAAAAACCATTAAAATTTAGTTTTAATGTTTTTGTCACCTTATGATCTTATTTTGAGTACTGCATGATATTTTCCTCATCTGCCAATGTGACAACTCTCTCTAAAGGTGAACACCTTCATAAAGTGTGAATAGTTTTGAGTCTATGTGATTATAATGCTTTTGACAGATATTTTTTTCAATTATGCATTACGCATCCATTTTGCTTTTTGGACAATATTATTCCTTGTTGATATTCTGTTATGTACTTTTCCACTTGTCCACCTTTTATTTGGTGTGTAAGAAAAGTTGTTTTGCTTTGTTTGTGGTCCCAAAGATTCTTTTCTAAAAAGCAAAACACAAAAGTTTTACGTTAACTTTTTTGTCCCCCAACCCTTGATGCCTTGTTCTCTATATATTCATATTTTTCTGGTGTTTGATTAAGAAATCTAATTGCCTCTAATTCATCATTGAATATCCTTTGAGGTTTTTTATTCGTTCAAGGTTTCTTCTTTGCTTTGGTAGGCTTAAAATTACCCCCTCTTCACTTGTTCTTGTGTGATGACTTTGGAACTTGATTCCATGTTGATGCTTGGACGTGTGTAAGCTGTTGTTTCGAAGTTGATCCTTCGTTGTTGAAACTTGAGAGGAGCTCAAGTGCAACCTGGTGGTCTCGTGTGTGAAGTTTGCTATGGTGGTTTGAAGTTCAACCAAAGAAGATAGAGTTGTCATGTAGAAAACAGGGAGTGTTTTTGCAACTTTGGTTATCTTGCTTTGTATTTGAACTCATAAGTTTACATAGTGAATTTGCTTTTTTTGGACTTGGTCCTGTGGATGTAGGCATGTTGCCGACCCATGTAAAAATGAGTGTGTTCTTTTCTTGCTTTAATGGATGTTTCATTTATGCCTTGAACAACTTTTATGCACAATATGAATAAGCAACCTATTCCGCATAAGTTTTAATCACT